GGGAGCTCGGCGCGGCCGGGGCCAGCGCGCTCGTCTAGCTCTGCCCTCGGCTCTCTCCCGTCCCGTCCTTTCCAGATCCTCTCCAATTGTTCCTTTCGCTCGGTTTTCCTTTTCTGTCTCCCCACCTTTCTCGCGCTGCCTTCTCTCTCACACCGATACCTCCCGTCCCTCCTTGCTGTCCGTTTCTCCGTGGCTGTCCCTGTGTGTCTCTCTGGCTTTTCCATTTCCGTCGAGTCTGACGCGTCTCTGTCTCGTCTTCTCCTCCGGGGCGCGCGCACACACACACACTCACATTTACACACTCACACACACTCACACACACACACACTCACATACACACACATACACACTCACACACACACTCACATACACACACACACACTCACACACACACTNAGAGCTGAGCCGAGCGAAGCCAAGCAGGGCCGGGCAATACGGAGCCGGGCCAGGCCAGGGGGAGCGGGGCAGATAGGAAAGGGCCCCGCTCGGTGGCCGGAGGGCGGGGGCGCGTAGGGGCACCCACCTCTCCGCGCTGCAGCTGGAAGAAGCTGTTGAGATAGCTGGAGTGCAGGGGCGAGCCCAGCTGCTCCGGGCGGCCCTTGCCGAAGGCCAGCTCTGGGGGCGCAGCGCCGGCGGGCGGCTCGGGCCGGAAGGCATCGAAGGCGCTCGCCTGGTGCGTGTCCTGCAGCGACAGGTAGACCCAGTTGAGCAGCTGGGCCGGCTGGTACACCGAGGCGCTCGTGTCGATGGCCGACAGCAGGCTCATTTTGCGGCGGCGGTGCCGGCCCCTCCCCGGCAGCCCGCTCGCGCCCCCCACCTCCAGNCACACGCACACTCACACACTCACATACACACACACTCACACGCACTCACACACACACTCACACACGCACACTCACACACTCACACATTCACACACACTCACACATACATACACACACANTCACACACGCACACTCACACACTCACATACACACACTCACACGCACTCACACGCACACTCACACACTCACACATTCACACACACTCACACATACATACACACACATTCACACACACTCACACACACATACTCACACGCACACTCACACACACTTCTCCCTCCTTCCCCTCGCTATCACCGTAGGACCCTCCCCCTCCCACTTAATTCCTTCCATCTGCAGAATCGCTTTGCGGGCCAGCGCTGCCAAGGGGGGCCCGGGTTCCTGCCCCAGGAAGGGCTCCCCGCCCCCTTCCCTCGCCTTCCCCCCTCCCTCTCCCCCTCTCCTGTTTCTGCTCTGGGGCAGCCTCGCTTCTCGCCCCCCCCCATCCGCGGTGCCCTGCGAGTTGCCAAGACACCAGATGGGTCCGAGGAAGCTCGGAAGACGACGGCCACCCCCACCCCAGGACACCCAGCTAGTCCAAGTGTGCCTGGAGCGAGCCCCCCGTCCCCGCGGGACTCACCCCCAGCCCTGGAGCCCTGTCACCTGGGGCAGCCACCCGCTGCCTGCGCTGCACCCCAGCCAGGGACCTAGTCAAAGCTCCTGGAGGTGGCCGAGTCACCTCTCCCACCTGAAACCTGGTTCTGGTGCCATTCCACCAGAGTCCAAGTGCCAGCTCTGCCACCTTCCAGCCAAGTAACCTCAGGGTGGCACCTAGCCTCTAAGAGTGAACCTGTAAAATGGGGCAGCCTCCATCCTATGTCAGGATGTTTGTGAGTTTACCAGTTTGAGCTTGGTAATCAGAATATATCCCATAAAAGTCAGGTCCTTGCCACCCCCTTCCACCAGGACTTCTCCCAGGACCTGCATCCACCCATCTCTGTGGGTACTTGGACATGGAAGGACTTTGGTGATGGCCAGTGAAGCTCTTTGCCACCATGTCACTAATCAAGAACTCCTTCGATTTTTTTCCTGTCTTATTTGATCATGTTTTTAAAGATTTTGTCTATCAAGTGATTTGCAATTATTGATTCAAACCATAGCTCAAATACCAATCATATCTTAACATTTTTATTTATCAGAGAAACATCTATATGATGCCCTTTATATTTTAAAAGGGTTAAACCTATTTGTTTAAAGGCAAGTTACACATTTGTTAGGAATATGTGTGATAACCATTTTACTCTTGAAAATATTTGGGGTCATCTCTGGAACTCTGCTACTATCTTTGAGGATTGGGGCGGGCCATGGTGGTGGATAGAATTTGGAACCACTGATCTAGACTTTCCTTGGATTTACAGAGAAAACTGCTGTTGAGAGAGGGGACATCTTCCAATTGTACCAGCAGGTAGCTGGGGAGGCCAGAGGAGCCCCTGAGGCACCCACCTCCAGCTAGAGCTCTCGGTCTCTGCCTCCCAATCTTCTTCTGGGCGAGGGTAGTCCTGTTAGTTTGAAGAAGTCCTAGTATGGGTTGCAAATTCAAATTGCTTTAGAGGTCAGGCAGGTACCACCAGGTATAAGGCGGTAAACAGGTAGTGACGAAGCTTGTGGACTAAAGTGCTGGCCACACAAAACCCTTCTGTCCTGGTTCTCAGCCTGAGACTATGAGTCTGGCACCTGCTTAGAGAGCCATGTGGCCTGGGTTCCCTGTCCTTCAGAGTGATTTGTTGCTGTGAGGGTGCTTGTCATACCTGGTGACCAGGCTGATGGCCTCTTTCCCTTTCACAACCCCCACCACATCCACCCCCTACACAAGGCCTGGTGCATCCATAGTAAATAACCCAAAACTGTTTGCTAGGTCGATGGTTAAATAACCAGATGACCAGATTATGCTCCCCTTTGAAGACCGGATGGCTCCTTTGGTGATGTACTTTTCTCCCTCCCCTTGCCCACAGTACACCTGCTTAACACGTGGGCTCTGTACCCAGTGGGTGATCAATAAATTTGAGCAACTGACTGGCGGTTTGCCTGGATAACAGCTGATGGACCTGAGGTCAGCTCCGCAGCTGGATTCCCTGAGACAACACCTCCTGTAGAATGGGGGCAGGGCAATGGGTGAGGGTGACCCGATGGGCATCAGAGGCCTGGGTACCAGGCCCAGAAGACTGGGCCATAGTCACACTCCATGCTTCCCCATTCCCCATCACATACATATTAAAAAGCCTTGCATTTAAAATGTTAGAGGTCCTAGCCCAAGTCTTCGCTTTGCAGAGGAGGAGATGCCATGGCCAGAGAAGGAAAGGGACTTGCCCAGGATCACCCAGGAAGCCTGATGGCTAAGCCACTCCGCATCCTAACTCCCCTCACTGGTCCTGGTCTGGCAGTCTCCTGATGTGGCAGCACGGTCCTCAGAACTGCAGGTGGGAGGGAACTCCCAGGTGAGGCTTGAGTCCCTGTCCCCTTCCCTTCTGGTGACTCTGTCCACCCTGTGGTCTCCAGAATGAGGCAATGGAGAGAAGACAGGATTTGGAGAAAAGAAATCTGGCTGCTTGGCCTTAGGCAAGTCCCCTCCCTCTCTGTAAACCTCAGTTTTCTCAGTTAGGGGCTGATGGGGTCAGATGAAGATGCGAACAGGAAGGTGCTTTGCTAGCTGTGAATAGAGTCAAGTGGCAGGAAAGCATAGTATCAATAATTTCAGTAAAAGTAATATTCAATTTATCTAGAGTGGTGGTTGGGAGGAGCAGGGTGCATGTAAGGAAGTGTCTGCCCCTGAAGTTGCCCAGGCAACAGGTCTGATAGGTGTTTGGTGGAGTTGCAAACAAGAGCCTTGACTTCAGAGAAGCAGGAGAAACTTTAGAAGGAAGAGCAAGCAGATCTTCGTGGGGGAATCAGCTTCCAATTTGCACTTGAAAGGCCGGCAGAGATGAGCAGAAGAAGTGGGGGCTTCACAGTCCTGTGCAGATCAATGCTGCTGTGTCTCTAAACCACATCGTATAGCGGTTTATAATACAAAGGAATCCCTAACCCTCTTGAACTTGCCTACAGTCCATGCCTCAGGAGTAAACAGCAAAGGACACACTGGGCGGCTGAGGTTCCCTCTCCTCTGGCCAGGACTGGGCACTGGGTTCCTTTGGGCCTGTTGACACAGAAGGTATCGGTTTACAGCAGTGATAGCAAAATGGCAAATCCTCTCCCTGCAAGCGCCACTGCCCATCTCCTCCCCAGGACACAAATCACCGAGTGCAGAGCTCCTTCCCAGGCCACCAGATTCCTTCTCATCACAACCATCTGTGTTGCCACTAACGGTGGAGTTGGCCCAGAAGATGAAAAGAATTTACCATCCCTGACTTCTGTGCACCCTCCCAGGATACTTTCTAACCTATGCAGTGACTGTGCAGATTAGAAAAGAGGTTGCTCTCAACTCCAGTGGCCTCAAATCTTGTATAGGTGGCACCTAAAGTTGAGTATGCAGAGCTCCCTACATTGGGAAAAGTCTTACTGAAATCAAAGAATGGCAGAGAAGCTGGCTAACAAAAACTTTGGAAGGAGTGGAAATTGTCCTTGGTGACCTCTTGGTCTTCCTTGCCTGCTTAGAATCTTTCCATGGCTGCCCATTGGATAAAGTCCAAACACCTACTGGTCACGACATTCAGCCCTTTGTCCCCTGACTCCTGACCACCTTTCTACCCTGATTGCAGGTACCACCTACCCTCCAACCCCAACACCGCATGTGTACTCCTACCCTCTAATGAAATGAAACATCTGGCCTTTTCCCACTCAAGCAAGGCCTTCCTCAACTCCATGCCTTTGCATATGCTGTTCCCTGCCAGGAAGGGTCTCCTTTTTCAGCTTTCCCGGCAGTCTCCTGTCACCCTTGAAGACCCCATTGAAAAAATTACTTTCTCAAAGAAGACTTTTGTCATCATAACTCTGATATCCACTCTCACATGCACCCATTAGATACTCTTTCTTTTATTCTCAACTATGGGGTGTCCATATGGTATTACGATGTTTGTGAAGTGGTCAGTCCTCCCTTCTCATGCCCTTCCCTCCCAGCACCACTGCTCTGGCCCAGTGCTGGATCAGAGCAGGCCCTCTGTCGACTTAATGAATGAATAAATGAATTAAACTCAGAGACAGGAGACTGTCAAGTCTGGTCCAGGGACTCAGGGGATTGTAGAAATGCAGGGACTGTTGCAGCTAGAGCTACTGTTCGCTCTGTTTCCCAGCCTCCCTTGCAGTTGGGCTGGGACCATGGGACTTGTTCTCAGCCAGAGGAGGGTGCATAGAAACAGTGTGTCTCTAGTGAGGCAGCAAGAGAAGGTGTGGGTTCTCCACATTTTCAATCTCCTATTGGGGGCGGGGGCAGTGAAAGACTCCAGTATAGCAGACCCAGACCTCTAAGTCAGCATTGCAGGAAAGCTGACACGAGGCCTCTCAGACTGCAGAGTGAGCTAGAAACAAGCCTTCTGGTGGTCAGCCACTGAGATTGGGCTTATTTGTTACAGCAGCAGAGCCTGCTCTAGCTCAGCTAATAGAGTGGCTCAAAGACAATCTGGTCCAAAAAACTCACTTTATCTGTATGAAAGCTGATGCTCAAGAAGAGGAAAATTACAATGGCTTCTGGTTCTGTGATTTCTGAGTTGCCCCTCTGAAAACTACATGGTAGCAGCAGCCAAGTCTTCTGGTTTCCAATGCCAACCTTCTCCCTCTCTTTTAGCCCAGGGTCATAGAATGCCATTAGCCATAATCCCTGGTTAGTAATATTTTTGCTTAATTGTTTGTTTATTAATATAATAAGTCCCTGTGGGCAAACCAGCCAACATAAAAACTCAGACTTTGACAAGAGCATATCTACCTATGAGGTCAGTCTCTAGCCAATTCCCTAGGCTCCCCCAACCAGAGA